CAGATAGTTCTTCCACATGTCCAGATAGTTCTTCCACATGTCCAGATAGTTCTTCCACATGTCCACAGATAGTTCTTCCACATGTCCAGATAGTTCTTCCACATGTCCAGATAGTTCTTCCACATGTCCACAGATAGTTCTTCCACATGTCCAGATAGTTCTTCCACATGTCCAGATAGTTCTTCCACATGTCCAGATAGTTCTTCCACATTTCCACAGATAGTTCTTCCACATGTCCAGATAGTTCTTCCACATGTCCAGATAGTTCTTCCACATGTCCAGATAGTTCTTCCACATGTCAACAGATAGTTCTTCCACATGTCCACAGAAAGTTCTTCCACATGTCCACAGATAGTTCTTCCACATGTCCAGATAGTTCTTCCACATGTCCACAGATAGTTCTTCCACATGTCCAGATAGTTCTTCCACATGTGCACAGATAGTTCTTCCACATGTCCAGATAGTTCTTCCACATGTCCACAGATAGTTCTTCCACATGTCCACAGATAGTTCTTCCACATGTTCACAGATAGCTCTTCCACATGTTCACAGATAGCTCTTCCACATGTCCACAGATAGCTCTTTCACATGTCCACACATAGTTCTTCCACATGTTTCCATTCAAACTCATTATGACTGATGATATCACAGCAGCTCAGCTTTGAAATATTTTACTTTTACCGTCAGTAATAACTATTTAGGACTAAGTATACAATAGATTCCATCTATGATTATAGTAGGAATTTTGTGCCAACTAAGTAGTTACCAGAACATAGCAATTCTTAAGCGTACTATAAGTGCTAAGCCTAAATGTGTAGCTATGAGATCCACTATGCTGTTGTATTATTTTGGCTTAGTTTTTCACCTTTTTTGCGCGATTGCAAAATCCCACCTCATCACTAATGTTTTCCAAACTTCTAACCAGTATATGTACACATTTATATTACTTTTTGTAGATTAACAGTGCTGCGGCTACAGCGGCGAATGCTTTGAGTAACGTGAAGGTGCAACATAAAGAAGAGTTAGTGGTACACTTCGTAATCCCATAAAATATAACTTGGTGAATGTTGTATTGAACTATTTGGTGACCAAATTATATAAAGACAATAAAAGAAGAAGAAAATCTTGGAAGGCATTTCAGCTTTCTAATGAAAATACCAGGAATTTATTGTTTTTTGAAAACTGGTGAAAACTTGAACACCACTTTGAGGAGCAGAAATGGATATCTTTCCTGTGCTGTATACACTGACGCTATACCACTGTGTAGTGCTCCAACAGGTGGCGTATGATGTTTTATTCTGCCACGTCTTCCCAAGTACAATGACATTGATGTTACCATCCAAACAGCAACAATCATCATCATCATTATTTTCTTTTTAATGGTGTTTTTTTTCCTATAATTTCTGTGATTTGCTGCTTGTATTTTCACCATGCATATTTACTCGTCTGGTCATATCTCGAGTAGTTGGCATTCATGTATTGAAGTTGGCGTTTATCTTTGTATTTACTATTACTGTAAAGGGTTTAATTATTCACTGGGTTTTAATTTGGCTTTTTTCGCTGACTGGAAAATCGTCACCTGTGCATGCGTCAGATGGCCATTGCGTGTCATTGTTTACAAACAAGCGTTTTTTAGCGCGTATTGTTATCATCGCTTGGGACTCAATTCCCACACGAGTGCAGGTGACGATCCTCCCACTTGAAGTACTGTGGTACTGCCAAGCAAAGTAACCTCTACTGCTATTTTCCCAGAGATTCATGTTAAATAATGTGTTAACGTATGCCATTAAGGGAAAAGTTTGTACTGTCCAATTTCAACTTAGAGGTCAAAGAGTAAGTTTACATGCAATGAGACATTAAAGGGAACACTGTTGCCATGCTTGAATCTTTGAAAAAAACAAGAGGAAGTGCTTTAGCTATTAATGTTCTTATTGATGCCTATCATAATGAAGATTACAGTTTCATCATATTTTGATTATTCACCGTCCATATGCAAATTAACCACCATGCTTGAATGTTGAACATAGGAGAGTAAATAGGTGTGCATGGTGTAAACTGATGATTCCCATAGAGCAAATGGAACTCCTATATGTTTACTGTCATTAACACATTGCCTGCCAATTTTTTTTTTTTTTCTCATTTATTTTGGTACGTCTGCAGAGGCTTTCATCAGGCAATGTGTTAATACTTGTCAGGAATTGAAGCGTTTCTAACTTAGACGACAAGTAATCTGAAATACACCCTGACTAGACATACTGCTATATCAAGCAATGACCCACCTAATATAATAGTCAGGCCTGTAATTATTTGCTATAGCCTAAATTATAGAAATTATAGTCGTATCTCTGTCATGGTCGTGTTATCCCAATCTGATTAAAATTTGATGTACTGTAGATAGAGGTACTTTAAATCACTGATCAAACTGATCTATTATTTTTGATTAGCTTTCTAATTGGCCAATGATAAACATAAATTTAAGACATGGCACATTCACAAGTTTGGGTACCATGCAAAATAAAGTGGATTTATGGTATCAAAATCAAAATGTATATAACTATATAAACCAATAGTCCTCGTCTCTACATATTGTATCCATACTTATGCCAATTTGTGCATACATTTAAGTCTATTTATCTTGAATTGCATTGTGTTGTATACAAATATTTATGATCAGCTGGTTGCAAGTTACTGGTTGATTTTAGATATGCACAACATTGTTGGGGGGGGGGGCTGATATTTAATGTTTTATTTAATGTGGTTAAAGGGAGGTGGTCTTCGCACAGCACAAGTTTTGATTTTGTGTAAGCAATGTACGTTGTAGACATTGCTATGGGTCCCATATCAAACAGAACGTGATACGACCACCACCATCCTTTCATCCATTTTGATGCAGTTGGAGTATAGATTAAAATGCAAATCATTTTTATGTTCACAAGATTAGCGTGGGGTTCTTGTTTTATAACGAGCAACAACCGTGCGTTATCCTAGGTCACTTCAGTATTGTATTAATTTCACTTTCTGTCTTGTCACCTATGTCGCTATTTTGATAGTAAAGTGGCTATGAATAAAGTTCCATCGGATTCCAGATATATGCATGCATTGGACATTGTGATCTGAAAGGTGGGAAATTGCATCTGCAAATGAATCTTGCCAACTGCAGAGCGAGCTGCCATTTGATCCATCTCAAATGATGTATTTATAATATTTGTCATTGTTGCATACCTACTTTGTCTTATTTTTGCCACAATTCAAACTAGAGACAGTACCAGCAGAGATTACATTGCATGTAATCGACATATAGCACGGTATCAGATATCTTTAAATAAATTAGTGCTGCATCAATCCAAGCGGATGCATTCATGTAACACTACTTTATATACTAGTAGTTAATGACAATGCTAAAATAAAGACAGTAAATGAAAAGAGATTTATTGAAGTGATAGTGTTATTTTATAAAGGTCTGTACATTTTGATGTTGGCCTTTATTTAAAGCACTAAATTTGGACTGTTTGATTCATTCTTAGATGTAAAGTTTGTATCAAGGGTACATCACTGCATGTACAATATGTATTTTCTATCAAATAGCAAGAATTAATAAGATAAGGGATTACGTGTATATTTCTATTGTTTGGAGAATTTGTGTAATTCATAGCAATAAACGTAATAAAATTGGGAAAACTGTTTGCAGATCTACATTTTCACAATATTTTGTTGTACAGCTTATAAATAGATGAATTAGATAATGCTATTGGTTTTCACTATTTGAAAACCAGTGTGACTTGTCTACTTGAAAGCACCCTTGGAAATGCAAATGGTCATTTGGCTCTCCATGAGAATTGTATTTGTTAAAGCTTTTAAATGTGTCTGGATTCACAAAGTGTTGGAGTCATTCTGGCAATTTCTCAAATAATTCCAATGATATTCCGTATATCACACAATTCCAGAAATGTATCTCAATGATATTCATTAAATTTCAGTAACAATTGCTTCGACATTCAACTGCATACGGAAATGATTGATGCACGTTTCATGCTTACAAGTACATTGATCATTGATATCTGCAGGGTACTTGTAAATAGATCCAGTCAGGATGTCTTGTGTGATCATTACACAAAAATGATGTATGAACTGATTATGTATAAACTGAACAGTTATGCATGAAATTTGTAAAGTACAATAGCTGTAACTATCAATTTTTTTTTTCATATTAGTAAAACATTTCCGGTGTCAATTTGAAAGTGTAAAAAGATGGCCGCTGGTGTACATCCAGGTTTACAGTGATGATTTTGTGTATCACGCGACTGATTTCAAAAATGGCACAGACTCAATTTTTGTGATATACCGGGTACCCTTTTGTGGGTTCATTTTTGTCCATGCAATTGTCTAAAACAATATTTTGGTGAGATTTAGTCATCTTTGTGGTTATATTTAAAAAAAAAAAAAAAGAAATTGTCAGTCACAGCTATTGTCTCTCTAATATACAACAGTTTATATACAATCTATGTATACAACGATCACATTAGAACAGTGTAGTCACTGATGTGAAATTTCACCAGATTTTTCTGCAAACATACTGATGAGGGCACCCTTTAAAAAGGTAAGTGGATTAAGTATTACTGAAAGTTCCCCTGTAAATTTCTGTGTAAGTTGCATACTGTAAACCACTTTACCTCAGACAAAATTTGTCTTTACAAATGCCATAAAATTGTTAAAATTAAATGGATTACATACCGGTAGTTAATGACTGATTTCTGCTATACACAAAAGTTTGATCTGTGCTCAAGTTTTGAAGCTGTGGATGTCTGAGGTAAAAGCCTTGCATATATACATTTAAATTGAATTTAGCAGGAAAACTTTTCTTAACAAATTTCACTGTCATTGAATCACTGGGTATGTTGCAAGTCAAAATAATTGGGAACGCAATGTGATAGTACTATAACTGACATTACAACAGGTTTTCATCAAATAGAACTGATAGAGTATTAACTCGAAAGAACATCACATGATATCATTACGATCACAGAAGGTTCAAAATTGGTGTTTCAAATGTCAGCTTCCCATAAAAAAATCTGCTTTCTATTCAACTAAAAAATATAAATATTACAAATAAAATATTTTAGTCCAATCTGACTAAAATCTGAGATTTGTTTTGCATGCTTTTGGCACTGAAAGAGATATATACATGTATATAGTCTGAAGCCCTGTGATAATAGATACAAGTACGGGGGGTTATAAAATAACTGACATATGATAAAATTATAGAGCACATACAATACAAATTATGATCAGATTGACATTGAACCATGTGAATGTCACATGACGTAAACGTTAAAATTAAAACATATTTTTAATATAATGAACTTGAGTTTTGCAATGAACCAAAATAGACATGGTAGGTTATGCTACCTTACCCTGGAAGAACTACCTATGTATCAGGCATAAAACTCTCTGTACACAATAATATATATGTTACAATTCCATTCAGAGACGAATACAAGATTGACCAGCATCCATAATCTTAACCAAATTACTGTGATATAATGCACACTATTAAACAGTTATTGTTTCTGCTGTTTCTTCTTCTTGCCTTTCCTTCGTTTGCCACCATACATCTTGTTCCATGTTGCCGCTGTGTCCCTGTCAGACTTGGTGACGCCACTGAAATCTAGTGTTCTCAAGTTAGGCATCTTGGACAGCACGTAACTCCTGTACTCCTTTTCGTTTTCTAGCGGATTACCGTGCAGACTCAGGCTTATCAAATTTGGCAAATCTGCTAGTTTATCCACCTCTTCCAGGTCATTGATGTTGTTACCATGGAGATACAACATCTTTAAATGAGAATGATTTACTAAAATCTGCAAAAATAAAACATTAAATTATAAAGAAAAAAACATCTAACAAATTTACTCCTAATAATAATTTTGTTGATTTTTGTACACATACAGTATGCTTCATTATCAGTTATCTCAAATCGGTTTTATAAAAGTGTTCTATACATCTCAATTTTGGCCTCAACTCTATCTGGATGTTCTTACATTACAGTACTCAATAAATTCAATATTCACTGACAGCAAGACATATTTTGATAACCCTTACTCTGATGCCAAACATTTCACTGTTATACTTTATTGCCAATAAAAAAAAAAAATAACATGGTCTTCAAAATTCAATTGTTAGAATATCATAATTTAGCTCAACAAGCAGCCTGTCGGCTGAGATAGCTCCGCTGTTAGCAATGCACATTTCAATTAAAGAACAGAAGATATCATTAGAAAATGAACAATATGTAGACTTGCTGTTTTCAACAAGAATTCAAAAATATCACTTTTCACCAAAAATAATCATCAAAATTAGATAATTGAAGATATCACCAATAAATGAACAAAACCTGAATAAGGTCCACATGTACTACCTATGTATGCAATATAAAAGCAATCGCACTTGTGGTTTTTAACAAGTCGAAAATATCCCTTTTTACCAAAAATTACAAAAATATTAGAGAATTAAAGATATCATTACAACATGAACAAATCTGAGAGAGGTCCACATGTAGTACCAATTCATATAAAATATCAAAGCAATTGGACTTGCGGTTTTTAACAAGAAGTCAAAAATATCACTTTTTACCAAAAATGACAAAAATATTCACTAAAATTAACGATATCAACATGAAATGAACAAACCTAATAGAGATCTACCCAAAGTACATATACACCAAGTATCAAAGCATTCAGGCTTGTAGTTTTTTTAGAAGAAGTCGAAAAAGTAAAACATTGACACTGACGACGACGGACAATCACACATATGATAACTCCGCACGACAAAGTCGACATCGGAGCTAAAAAATGAAGGGAGAAATATTTTGGATGGAATGTTGACATTTCTAATCTACCTGTGCACAGGCAGATGTGAATAAGACACTCTTAGTGCACAAACCAAGCTCCAGGCATTTACACTACTGTGTCATGTGTAAATATTCAAGACATTCTTACCTTTTACCTTCAGGCACAAGTAAGTACCATTCCATCATGCAAGCATATTAAACCGTAAAAAAACTAACCCACCACACCTTTGTATTCTCATGATTCACTATAAAGTATTCAATCACAACAAAGAAGCCATCTGACTCAACTGAGAGTCTGATATACAAGTATACTATTTGAAAATAGCATCCTTGTAAAAACCCTATCCCAAATAATATTGATTATGGATGCATCCTGTATATAATGAAAACATTTAGTTGATAAAAGAAGACTGCCTTGGGTTAATCAACCAACATTTGAACCAACTGTATACAAGTATTGATACAAGAGTAGAGATGGTTATTCAAGGAGATTACGCTAAAAGATAAGTGAATATTACTACAAAGAATTGGTCATGTCAGGTTCAATCCCTTTTATCAACTACAATCATGTTCCATTACATACACGATATGTCTAGTGTCTGTGTCATTCATTACTCACAAGTGGATATAATGCTGTATCTCATTTTACACTCTTTTCATCCTTTGATTACACGATGAAAACCATCAGATGTTGAAAAGTCACTAGGTTTGGCTGTCCAGTTTGTTATAAAAATTTACTGATTCATAAATTACTAACAACGTGGTGACATCAACAAGTGATTGGCAGTCATGCACAATGTTTATTTCCGAGTCATTAGACTGGAAGTGTTCATATCCTTCCCATGTAAATATATTGGCCCATTCCCCATTCAATCTCATTTAATACAAATTATTTAAATCCCTTATGCCCCCAAATTTGGCCATAATTTCATAGTTTGTTCATAAGGTCAAAGTTTTGAACTTGGATGACAGGTACAACTGTATTTGAACAAAAATAAATACAAGTTGATATAAATCATTGATTATCATCTTTTTTTTAATTTCTTTATTAGATTTATACATACTGACAGAAACGCATATCTTAATAATTATTTCCAATAAAAAATTCAATTATGACGTCCGCCCTTACACCAACTTGGTCCAATATGCATCTGATGTGCATGGTGGAAAGGACAGTTATCCATAATAATGCATTCCTTATGTGCTAAAAAACAGGAAAACCCATATCACTGCTTTGTAAAAAAAAAAATCAGAAATTCATAGCCATTAAACTTTCCTTCATTAAGAGAATGTCCATATCTCCATATTTCCAGATGTTCATATAACACACACCTCTAACCATAAGACCCTCAAAACTATTTTTTTGCAAATTTATCAAACAGATATATTGTATACAATATTTTTTAAATAAAGTCAGAAATTTTCATTATTTGTGTGGCCCTAAAATATGTAATGAGTAGGGAAGAAGCTACTGTATGCTACCAGAAAACCATTCAAAATGGTCTGTACTGTAAAACTCCTGGATCTTTGTCTGTATTAGCAATACAACAATTATTCCAAGGACTGTGAGCAAGTATAGACAATAACACAGACACCAGTATCCAACATTACCTCATTTATACTTACAGAATCAATTTTAGAGATATCATTGAACGACAAATCAATCCAGGACAACTCTTCCGGTTTATCAAGAATATTAGAAACAACATCAGCAAAACCATTAAGGTCCTGGATTCGATTGTTATTCAATTTAAAAGCCGAACTGATCACTTTGCCTTCATCAGTTGTCTTCAAAGGACGACTACCTATCCTAGGGTCCTCCTCTAAAACATCTGCAATGACATGTTTTTGTCATCACATATATATAGTAGAGAATACCCAAATAAAGAGAGAGAGAGAGCAACAGGTGAAGAAGCGTTCATGCAATGGTGAGAAGTGCATGGAGTGAGAAGAGATTACTTTAAACTGCTAAATTTTAGCTGCTAGAAAATTGAATTGAAGTGATTTACAGAATAAAAAAATAGGTGGTACTGCTCGAGTGATGAAGCAAGCATAGGTGGGATAATGGGAATGCGTAATAAATATAGTATACACATTAGTGTCATGCGTGATCGATGAGTAAGGGTATGTCACACAAAAATTTTATAGGAATTAGTAATTCTAGTGAAGAGGAAGGGGGTATGCATCAGTGGTATGATATCACTATCTTTAATCATCGTTTAATTTATCTAAAGTTAACGGTTTTCAAACATTTCTTGTGGATCAATGTTCAAATATAACGAGGAAGAGTGAGGATGACTACAGAAGAAATCAAGTCAACCAATTTGGGGAAGAAGTGAGCAAATGTGCAATAGATGTGCAGGAGTTCTTTTTTATTTCCACAAGAAATGATTGAATCCTGAATATGTAAAAACTTTGGATAAATCAAGTAGTTCAAGATAGTGTTACTCCCACACCAGCCATATATCAATGAGTAAATTCTAAGCAGTTGTGTTAGCGCCCCACACAACGTGACCATTTCTCCTCAGAGCACATTTATTTTTAGCATTCCGCAACCATGATGATAACCTGTGACCAGATGATAACAAAAATAATAATAATGGAGACAAAATTTGAATAATAATGAAAAATACAATGAATGCGGTGACATGAATGACAGAATTGATACAAGATCAATACAACAATAAATTAAAGGTTGGCCATATACATTTACAGGTATACATTTTTAATACTATAAAAAATGACTAGAAATGTGCCATATATAGCAAATGATTTGTATTATTTCAAATAACAATATTTTGTGAATCCCAAGAAATCTGGGTCAGAACTTTTTTGTAAACAGATTGAAAGAGGATTGAGTTTTCAGCATCTCAAGGCGTCATCATCAGTTTCCTTCTAACAATATGAATATAGTTTTCTTAATTATTCAAATTCAAAGCATTTTCCATAAGCTTCTTCAAAGTATACACAAACCAAAGAATAACAGCTACAATAAAGATAATTATTATTATTATGTATGACAACTTTTGCCACATTGTCCAAGCGGACTTCAAACAAGAAACATCTAGTACATAGTTGTGTTGAGTGTGATCCAAAGCAGAATTCTAAACTGTATTGCAAGACTGGATTTCAGATAAAACATGCATATTTAACTGATGATACAACTTTACCCACTCAAACCTTTTGAGCCTCATCATTTTTCTATCCAAAATTGTGGTGCAACAGTTTGCCTATTTTGGAGTATTTTTCCATAATATTTTTGACCATTTTGATCAAATGAACATAATTTAGCTACAGGTCTAGAGAGTTGAGGGTAGTATTTTCTTCACATTTTTTCAAGCTTGGTTATTATGGTCCTACAGTAGTTGTGTTATATTTACCTGACATCTGAGTTAGGCATCTGAAAGAGAAATCTAATGGTGGTGCCACCTGATTTGATGCATCAACAGCTGGCTTTGATGTCATTCTCACCTATAACAAAACAATTCACATACTCATTGAAAGAATATCAGCCTTCCCTGCTTGTGTTGTTTGGGCAGAAACTAAAACATGTCGGGGGGGGGGGGGGGACATCACCTGAAAGCCTTCAACGATAACCAAAATGAATGAGTAAACGCTCATAGGTAAACATGTATAGACTAAAAAAATTGATGCATTTATAAGGGACTATCCAGGGAATTATGTGGTCCGATGCAAGTATATTACTTACAAAAACATAGCATGATCCACCACAAGTATCAACTGTTGTTGGCTCCAGGGACTGTGGTATAGCATAAATACGTTCGCCATTTTTTGATTTTGCAGGAAAGATGTAAATGTAGCAGCTAGTTCGGAACACTCGGTGTCATGAGATATGAATTGTGAATTTCTGGGCACTATAGCTCCATCACAGTCCCTCTATAGGGATAGAGGGAGTGTGGCTTCATGATCAGAACACGCGTCAAACTTTTTTGTGTGTGAATTGTAATGTCATGCAAATGAACCCAAGATTGCGTAGTTGCGAGGCGTAAACGGTATCCCCCCCCCCCACTGTGCGCAGTATGAACTAATATTCATAATTGGCAACTGGTGGTTGCTGTTTTACAGGTAACCAATATTTGTACTTCACAGACTCAACTATATCAGGAAGTGGGTCATTTTTTTAAGAACGTTATTTAGGTTTATTTCTGCTAATTATTTTCAGATCTCTCGTTAAGTTTGGTGGAAGGGTCACACACATGGCCATTAAAATCACCGACTCTCGTGGCGATAGTCTAATTGTTGAGAGAAACCAAACACCACTAAAAAAAAACCGGGTCAGGAAGGAAAGAACGAACATGTCTGCTTTTACGGTTCATGCAATCACTAAAAAGGTGTTTTTTTTCTCGACTATTTACTTACCGAGTTTTATGTTTAAATCACGCTTTATAATCCTGAGTGTAAATTACAGATGAGTGTCGTCGCTTTCGAGGTGATAAAGTCAAAAATATTCTGTTTTATTTTGATAGTGTCGACTTACAAATTTAGAACAACATCAGCCATCTTGGTTGTCAACAAACAATTTAAATCTCGAGAACGAGTTGAACGTGATCTTAACGAGATTTCCCTGACTTGGACGCCAGGGGGCGACATATTTGTCTTTTTTTATCATACAGGTGAATTGCTTAAAAGGTTTTGGTTTTTTTCGAATATGAACAAAAATTAAAAAAGGCTGAAATACAAAATAGTCTAAAAATTAAGAGATATCGCAAAAATTATTATTTTATTAGTTTTCATTTTTGCTATTTTCAAGGACTAATCCATAACCAAGAATTTGTGACCGCACGCCACCCAGTTGTTTTTTTACAAATACTAAATTATTTAAATTTTTCACCAATTGTATTGGTTTTGTTAAAATTATCTTTTCTTGTCTTGGTTTGTAAAGTCAGGATGTATAGCCATGGTCTCTCCTGATTATAAATTGACAAGATTTACCTTGATTAGATTTATCTCACATAATGTATTCTTGAGAAATAAGCTAACATAAACATATAATCATTACTTCTTTACAAAAAATTGAATTAGAGTATAAAGTCAATCTTAAACAATGGAGCCAAGTTTCTCTCAAGTTTAGCTGT